CTTGACCCCACAGTTTAGAGAGGACAAGGATAGAGAAAGAACAAAATTAAGGCAGGAAGAAGAGAATGGGAACAAGCTGCAGAGATGTCTCCAGATCCCATGCCAGGCTGAGTCTCATCTGGGGCACCCCGGAGGGGGGTAGGTGCACCCACCACCCACACAAACCGAACCCTTGGGAGCCAAAAACCTCCAGAACCCAATTGCCACCATGCTCAAGGCCATGCTTCACAGTCTCAGGTCAAGCCTGATGCAGGAGTTTTTCTGTTGAAAAACTCAGGATTTGGGGCTTGTGACCGAAATCTCCAGACTCTCACGGAGTTAGGAATGGGCAACCTCCCCCCATCTCCCTGTTCTTCTGGGAGCCTGGTAGTCACACCCACAGACTGCCTCTGTTGCCATTTAAGCTCATTAACTCCCATGATCCAGAGACTCACAAAAATATCTCCGAAGAGAACAACAAGGTACAGAGATGCCTCCAGACCCCAAAGTCACCACCCAATTAAAAATTTAACTCCAGCTATATCACCCGATTTCAAATTTTAGAATTCCTGGAGCAACATCTCATACTCTATGCTACTGATGTACCAAGAGTAGTATACCACGTTTGATGGGGTGTAAAGGAGAAGCTAATCAATGTTGATCAAAATAAATAAAGGCTCGAGTTATTTTATTTCCTATCTTATGTCACTAGAATGAAAGGATAGGTTTGTGTGAGGTTAGCACACAAACCTCAACCTTTAACAACATGTTAATAATCTCTTATACAAGGGTTTAATGGCTCCAGGGTGAGATGTAACAATCTTCCCACACTTTCCTCTAAGGAAACATTTTTGAATCATTTTTCAGTTAATTATTCATAACAAGCAATACAAAATAAATTATTTAGGACCTGCTTTGGGGACAGGGTTGGATGGTGGTGGGAAAATTTGAAATAATGGTGTTGGGAAGGTGTAAAGATGGTAGTATGGGAAATATTGAATGTAGTAAATTATTGTGAACACGGTCATGGTCACGGTCCTCCCGTTGTTCATCGATTTGCTCGAGTGGGCCCAGTAACGTCTCCATTGGAGACTTTTGTTGTTACTGTGTTTGGCATATCGAATACATCACGGGGAGCTTGCCAGGCTCTGCCGTGCGGGCGAGATACTCTCGGTAGCTTGCCGGGCTCTCCGAGAGGGGCAGAGGAATCGAACTTGGGTCGGCCATGTTGGCTGCGTGCAAGGCAAATGCCCTACTGCTGTGCTATCGCTCCAGCCCCCACAACTTTATAAAAATGAAATTAAAAATAAATGAATAAATAAAATATCTAGCTGCTGTTTAAAAAATAAAAGATGGGAAGTAATAGATGAACAGGTATCAGGGCTTCAGTTATGTTGGTAATATGAGTGAGTGGTATAACCATATATCCAAAACACAGACTCAACAAAACTGAAAACATGTGATCTAAACTGCAACCACTGAAACTTTGTGAAAGTCAAGTTGACAAGTGGTATGAGTTCGAGATTGAGGTGGAGAGGGAATATGGGAACCCTGGTGGAGGGAAATTGAAATTGGCAGTGGGATTGGTGTTGATAGTTGGCTTTAGTTGGCCTAAAACTCAACTACCAATAACTTTGTAAATTATAGTTCTTTAATAAAAATTTAAAAAAATTTTTATGTGCCCCTTTAAGAATACTACTATTTTCCACCTTGGAGGACTTATCCAAAGAATACTATAATATTATAATATGGAAAACCACTCAACGATTTTTTTAAAAAAAAACTTTGTCTCTTCTCAACAAAATAAAGGGAACTCAAGGTGTGAAGTAACATAAGCCAGAAGAAAAAAAATATAAGTATTAGGTGATCTCACCTAATAATGAAAAAGAAGATTACAAAATTGATGAACCAAAGAATGGAATAAAAAGACTAGCCAGTAGATATTGGCAGTATGTCCACTGAAGAGAATGAAGTAAGGGGAGGAAGATCCACAAACAAATATTGTTCTCTTTTCCAATATCTTAAAGTGTGCATTGTGAGAAAAGGAGGTGAGGGATGGGTTTGATCCTAAACAACTGATCATATATGATCTGATGATGACAAAGCCTGTCAGACCAGATGTCAAAGACTTGAGTTATTTCCCAGTTGCTGTGGGACCAGCAACGAGTCATACTTTCACATTATTTCAAAATACATGTCACTCAGCTTTTTAAACCAGTTCACCTACTTCATTAAGTTTTCCTACCAATACACATCACACAATACCCTCCAAATGGCTGTGCTTACTAAAGGTAACAAAAAAGAAAGAAAGAAAGAAAGAAAGGAAGGAAGGAAGGAAGGAAGGAAGGAAGGAAGGAAGGAAGAAAGAAAAACCAGGGAAAGGTTATGATAATTTTCATAAGCATAAACTGAATTTTAAGTACAACAGACACTGATTATCATAGATTAATAAAAATTAATAAACTGAGTAATACACTAACTTGAGCCAGCTGCTTTAAAATGTAGGTACCAAAAAATGTTTTCAACATTTTTATAGCACTATTTCAACTACCAGATTTTTCAGAAAACAATTGAAGATATAAAGACTTAGAAAATCACTAAGTTAGCAATAAATGTAACATACATTTATACAAGCATAAAACAAAGCCTCATTTTGCCTACAAAGATCTACCAGTCATGATTCACCACAATTACTCATTCTGCTGGAAGGGACACTTAATGCCCGGGCAGTAATCAATTGTAGAATTCAAAAGTTGCTCTTTCTTCCCTATACACTTTACTTTGGCAAGGGTTTGATTCATGTTAAACTGTATTACTTATGGCAACTTGTATTTGTTCTGTTTCTTGTCCCACAGATAACTTACATTAAATTCAGTTTGACAGGTACTGTCTATTGGCAAAACAGTTTGATAGGTACTGATTGTGGGAATGAAATTACTTATGTCAATAAAATTTGGCAGTCTGCTTCCTAATAGAGGAGAAGTGTTATGGCACCTGATTCAACTTAAAACAAGGCTGAATTCTTAACTTCCAATTTCAAATATTTATATTCTACAGTAAGTTGTTCATGGGGTGGAAAAAGAAATCCGTTTAGAGTTGACTTATGTGCACAAAATATGAAATATTTTAGAATAAATTTAATTGAAGTAGAATCAATAAGGGCCTTAAATCATCTTAAAAAGTGTTTGAGCACAAAGAAGTTAGTAATCTATTAATGAATTTATTCATTTCACAAATACATTAACATCTCTGTTTGCTAGATTGTTTCCTAATTATGTGCTAGAGAAAGAGCCCTGGGAAAAAAATATATATAGACCTTTTTCACGTTAACTTACTTTCTGGCATGAGAGAGAGATGATAATAAGATTTTTTTTTAAATGAAAAACAATACATTGGGCCAGGGAGATAGCACAAGTATTAGTAGTGTTTTGGCTTGTCAAGCTGTTTCATTCCTCATCGCTTCATGAGTTCCACCTGCCCCAGTTTTTCAGGGTATATTCCTGAGAACCCCAAGCATCAAGGATATGACTACAGAGGCCCAAAGCAGGGTCCGAGCAACTCCCACTCTTGGGTCCTATCACTGAACCAGTGATAGTTCTATCACTGACCCCAGATGTGTTTCAATGAATTTCAAATACAAAAGGGAGTCTATACCAACCTGTTCTACAAATATAGAGACACGAAAATACATCCATGTGCAATTAACCTTTTTTTCTTAGCGCATTAAAATAGACATAGGAAAATTAACTTTATTAACTATCTTGGTAGTCAAGGATAGCCCCCAAATGTTATTTCAACAAAGAGTATTAAAAATCATGGGCATTTGACTTTTTTTTTGGTGTATCTAGTCCATGAGATCCTTGTATACTCAATTCAGAGCAGCCACATTCCAAGTAGCTTCACATTTTATATTGTTCAAACAGCTACACGTGGTTTATGGTCACATACCGGACAGCAAAGGATTACACTATCATTAGATTTGAACTTCTTCACCAATACTACCTTCAGTTGATTTTTTTTTCGAAAAAATTCTTACCAGCAAACATCTGTGTATATAGCGTGATACTGTGATGTTAGTATGTTTAGGGACCTGAAACTGCAGATCGTTATATAAACCGAGGAGAGGCAGTATTTTACTGTGATGAAAAGTCTGGAACGGATTCAACAGGTTGAATTCAGAGCAGCTCCACGAGATACCAGTCTTTGAAGAGGTTAGCTACTCAAAAACCTATTTTATTTGCAAGGAGATACTAGTATTAGCTCTGTAAACATTATTCTATGGATAGCAAACACAAAGTTTTGACACCTAAGCTATTTCTCCAAATGTTAACTGTAGGGGTCTTGTTTTGGGGTTACACCTGGCAATGCTCAGGGCTAACTCCTGACTGGACTCAAGGATCACTCCTGGCTGGGATCAGGGGAGTACAAACTAGGATTAGAACCTGGGTTAGTTCTGTGTAAGGCAAGCATGTTACCTCCTGTACTCTCTCTCTGGCCCCATTATTTGTTTTTATTTAGACTTAAAAAACAGAATAGAGGTTCACTAGTGACGTATTCGATATGCCAAACACAGTAACAAGTCTCACAATGTTACTGGGCCCGCTCGAGCAAATCAGTGAACAACAGGAGGACAGTGACAGTATTCTAGTTATTCTTTATCTACACACACACAAGCCAGATAATATGTTAGGGGTTGTTTTTATGAGTTTTATGATTGTCTTGTGTTCCAATATACATTCTCAAACTGTGGAATAATGCATGATATATGGGAAGCCCTTGGGAAGTTTATTAAATAAATTTATGGTTGTGGAATTCTTGAAGTGGTTTTAACTCTACTATTAAAAAATAATAAATACCCCCTGCCCTTTTGTAGGTCATGTCCCCAGCAAAATGAACATTCTTAAGAGTCTGAATAGCGTTTGCCAGAAATTTAAGACTTTTCATTTAATAGTTCAAATAGTGTAGGAAGAGCTTAAATGATTGGAATATCTGCCATAGTTTAGAAATAATTGACAGCACCCTCAAGACTACCCCAGATTTTATTTAATTCAAAACTCACCAGTGATATCCTACAAAGTTAAAGAGTGTATACAACTCTGGTGTAACACAAAGACATTTATTTGTTAACCAAAGGAATGATCTTGATTAAACCAATACTTTAAAATAGATGTATGTAAAATACTTGTGATAAACATCACGGATAGAGTAATGAAGAAAAAAGAAAAACCAGCACGGAGATTTGCTCATTGAACTGAGCTTGTCAATCCTTGAAGCTAATTCCTGTCCAAAATGATGGACATCTTATTCAACTTTTTCATAGGTACGAGTGCAGGTGACATTATTCATGATGCATTCCTAGGAGAAAAACGGCATTAAAAAGTTGGTTGAGTTTCACAACCCAAAGCAATAGAGTGTAAAATGCTCAGATTAGAATGCCTCAGGGCCTAAATAATCTAAGTTCAGAGATGTGAAAGGCGTTTTTGAATTTAAATTTAAGATGATAGAATTTGTCATTTTGGATAAGTCAGCTTTTTCCTGAAAACAAAAATACTGAGGTGTAGTATCTAAATTATTCATTTGCTCTTAGGACAACTTGGTATTTGATCAGCTTATCCAACATTATACCATAACGGGCAGCAGACAAGGACTAAACTCAATTCCAGCTTGGAGACTCGTTCTAGCACACTATATCATGTTATTTTTTTTGCCCAATTCTTACTAGTGTTTTTGTATGATTTGTTCCCAAACCTAGTTCTGTTCATGACAATGACATAGAACAGTTCTGATATAAACTATGACTGTAAACAAGAAGCCCAGCAAGACATAACAAGTTTGTCACTTACCACCACCAACTTTCCATTTTCCAATTTTCTGTTTATGGTGCTTTCCTTTCCGTCCCATTCCTGGTGCTGAACCAACACACCATCCTTGAAACTGCAGACGGTCTGCAAAAACAGGCATTTTAATTTTAGGCTTACAAAGCACGTTCCAAGATTTCCCATGACTCATTATCCGCCTGAATCAACAATTTTTCTTCTTCTCCTTTCTATGCCTACTTCATTGAACCCAAACTGATTTTATTCATCAGACAGTTTATTGCCTTGCAACCTAAATTCACAGCAAGAGATTCATTCTCTCTGGTGATTCTCATTTTTATAAAACAGAAGGTCATTATACTTGTATTTTTACTAATTTGTCAAAAATCCAATTCGTCTACCTTGGAACTTTTTCCACAAATTCTTGCTTCTAAACAATAAAAAAGTTCTTTTTTTTTTTTTTTGCGTCACACCCGGCAACGCACAGGGGTACTCCTGGCTCTGCACTCAGGAGTTACCATATGGGACGCTGGGAATCGAACCCGGGTTGGCTGCATGCAAGGCAAACGCCGTACCCACTGTGCTATCTCTCCAGCCCCTGAACAAGTTCTTAAGGGTTGGAGATGTGACTCAAAGGTGAAGCAAGTAAATTAGGACTAACCTGAGTTTTCCTGCCATCAGCTGTAGTTTCCTCAAACTTCTCTCCCAGATTACAAGAGAACTGTGTTGTTTTCAAAGTGCTCTCGGTTTTTACAGAGAGATTATTGCCATTGACAGTGATGACACAGTCCGGTTTGGCCATGGCACCCATTTTTCGAAGAGCCAGTCCCACTCCTGTACAACAGAAAATCAAAGTTACAGTTTGCCTCACAAAAGCAGTAAATCCACTGTAACTGCCATGATAGTGCATGCATCATCACACTTCCTGATAACCACCGGGAATCAGTAACCAGCCCTCCCAATGAGCCAGCGCCTGGATCCACAGAACCCTGACCAGAACTCTTGTGAAAGGCGGACAGTACTTTATAAATAAAAAAATGAGGCTCAGAAGTAACATGTCAAGCTCACTTCAGCAGTAAGTGATGGAACTGCAGAGCAACAGAATAAGGAACCTGTCTTTGTGACTCAGCTCAGAGCACCCACGCTCTGCTGACCTTTGGAAAGTTGGGCAGAAAAAAAAAAAAACACTTCTATGGGCTGGGGAGATAGCTCACATTTACATGCAGCTTCCACCCCAAGCACTGCGGATGTAGCACAGACATAAAAATTAAGAAGAGGAGGGGCCCATGGGACACCAATGAAGGGAAACAGACACTTGTGGAGGTTGTGGTGTGCAACAATGGATGTGTGCGCACAAAGCCATCAGTAACAGCACTGCAAATCACACCAGCTCAATAAAATGGGGGATAGGGCTGGAGTGATAGCACAGCAAGTAGGGCATTTGCCTTGGACACGGCCGACCCGGGTTCGATTTTCAGCATCCTATACGGTCTCCAGAGCACCGCCAGGAGTAATTCCTGAGTGCATGAGACAGGAGTAACCCCTGTGCATGGCTGGGTGTGACCCCAAAAAGCAAACAAATAAAAATAAAAAATAAAATTAAAATGGGGAGAACATTGAAGAGGAAAAAGAAAATACAGCCATTCCCAATTCATTTACTCAGTTCTGCCAACTACTTTATTACAGGACTCCTGCACATTCCGTGACACATAAAAGGTCCTTGATGAATATTTGATAACAAAATGGAATCAAAATAAGAAATCAATCCTGGGATATTCAAATAGCACAATTACTTTGTAAGGTAATGGCATAACAATATTAATAGAAAAACCTTACCCTACAATTTTTTTTTCCATACCTGTGTGACTCCATTACATCTTGGTGTCATCTATAATTTATCAATTGCTTATTGCCACTGAGTTTTAGCACTTGGAAGGAAAGTCAAGCAACCAAGGCCAAATCCACGTTTCAAAGAGGAGACAACCAAGCAGAACAAATGACCGCGAGTCTGAAACATCCCCTTGGTGCTTTCTCTCCAGCTGGCTTAGGGCTGGTGCCCTGCGTTGTTAGGGAGTCATTTATTCTCACTTTGAACAAATAAAGGATTCTGCTCTTGCCACACATCTTGATTGCTCTCTAATGAATTGGGCCTTGACAACCTTCATGACTCCAGAATCCTGGAAACAAGCCACCGCGCACGTACTCCTTTCAGAGGGCGATGCCACAACCCAACACAAATTCTTTTTTTGTTTTTGTTTTTTTCTTTTTGGGTCACACCCGGCCATGCACAGGGCTTACTCTTGGCTCATGCACTCAGGAATTACTCCTGGCGGTGCTCGGGGGACCATATGGAATGCTGGAAATCAAACCCGGGTGTCCGCGTGCAAGGCAAATGCCCTACCCGCGGTGCTATCGCTCCGGCCTCAACACGCACAAATTCTTGGATCCGCAGCCAGTACAGGTCTTTAGCCCCCACCCCCACCACGAGCCACCTTGATCTCAGTGAAATGAACATTTAAAAAAATGTTCCCTTTTTGATTTACTCAAGGTATTGTGTATTATTACTATTATATATAGACTTATAAATATATAGACTTGGGCATTTAGGCCTAACCCATCATTAACTTGCAAGCAGGGTAATGCATTTCTGCAGGATCTCGGAGACGAGATTTCAAGTCTTTGCAGTGACTTGGGCATTGAACAGTGTTGTATGAAGACTCAAGGGATGGTCTCTTTTAAAGCACCCTCACGGGTGTGCGTGGCGGGCGGGGGGTAGGGGGAATGGGGGGTGGGGATGCTGCTGCCCTTTTCCAGATAGGATCTAGGCTTCAGCCACGCCGACCCACTTCCGAGTGACACAGTTATTCTTGTTAAATGGACCCCAATGTCCCAACCAGCTTTACAATCGCTGCCAGTGGACTGGGAACGACCCAAACCCCTTGAACGCGAGAGGAGGAAACGGGTGGAAGCTCGCCCGGGCGTTCTCATCCTCTCCGAGCACGCTGCACGGGAGCACCCGAGCTTGGCGCAGAGCTCCGCCCACCGGGCTCGCAATCAGAGAGCAGCCGGGCCGCGGGGCCTGGCCGTGGGCAGCTCCCCCCCCTGCGGCGTTCCCAACAAAGCCCGGCCACTGCCCCGGTGCGCTGCCCCCCTCCCCGGGGATGCAGGGGCCACAGCCGCAGCGCTGGGCCCCGCCCAGGCCCAGTCGCTGCGCCGCTGCCACTCGTCATCATCCACTCGCCGCCGGTACCCGGGGGGACTGAGTATGCCCTGCGGTCCTCCCCCGACCCCCGGAGGAGCTGCGCCCACCGAGGCCGGGGTGCTGGGGAAGCCCCAGCTGGTGCGTCGCTGGCCGCGCCCCAGGACGGCGTCCCGGAGGAGCGCGCTGCAGCCTCCAGGGGCCAGGGGTGGGGATGCGGCGGCGGGGGGTGAAACGCGGATGCGGGCTGGAGGGCGACCGCGAGGGATGCAGGGATGCAGGGATGCAGGGATGCAGGGATGGAGACGAAACCGGCGCGGGGCCGGCGGGGGATGCAGAGCCGCAAGGCGCGGGGCCGGCGCCGCTGGGGGCGGTGTGGGGTAGCCGCCACGTGGGCGAGGGTGAACGCGCGGCAGAGACCCGCTGGGGGTCGGGGGGGACCACGGGGCGGCCCCGAAGGCAGGAGGCTGGCGCACGCGGGGGCCCGGCGCGGGGACCACGGCCACGGTGCGCCCCGGCGGTCCGGAGCGGCGGCGCGGGGCGCGCGGGTCGGCCGCGCAAAGGGCTGGGGGCCTCACCGAGCTCCTTCATGTACTCGTCGAAGCCCTTGCTGTCCACCAGGCGCCATCTCCCCACCAGATCCTGCAGGCTGGCCATGACGGTCGCGGAACACGGGCGGAGGGCGCGGAGCGACGGCGGCGACAGCAGCGGGGGCGGCCGAGCGGGCGGCGGCGGCCGAGCGCGGCCGTTTTATCTCCGCGGCGCCGCGCGGGCGGCCAATGGGAGGCGGCGGTGCCCGCCCCGCCCCGCCCCCCGCGCGCCCTGGGGTCCCGGCGCGGCAGGCGGCGACTCGCCGGGCGCCCCCGGGCGCCCCCGCGCACCCCGGACGCGGCACCTGCACGTCCCGGCGCCTGGGCGCGCCCCGCCGGGATCCCGCCCCGGGCCGCCCCTGCGCGGAGTTTTTTTTTTTTTTCTTTTTCTTCTTTTTTTTTTTTCCCTCCCTTTCACCTTCAAATACCCGCAAGGAAATCTAGGAGCGCCTGCCCCGCCCAGGTGCTGGATCTCGGGCGATTGGCAATTTGGCGGATGCAAATACTTGGCTTCCCGAACCCCTCCTTGGAGTCCATCACACGCTCCCCCACCTCCCCCCCAATTCCAGCCACGCTCCTTATTCTCCTCACCCGCAGGACACCCCTGACCAATTGCGCAGAGTAGGGTGGTGGGAGAAGATGCACGGATGAATTCCAGTAAATTCTATTTCCAAGCTAAAGCTCTGTTTGTAGGCAGCTTAAGCCTTCAGGGAAGGCATCTCCTGTTCTATGTTCGCATTCAAGAGGAGCTCAGTGAGCATAGTATAGTGAACCACAGAATTTCAATCAATTAAAATAATAAGTGATTTTAAACCAAGGGTTTATATTCCCAGTTTACTGGGACCTTAACATTTTTTCTTTTTTTTTTTTCTTTTTGGGTCACACTTGGCGATGCTCAGGGGTTACTCCTGGCTCTGCACTCAGGAATTACTGCTGGCGGTGCTCAGGGGACCATATGGGATGTTGGGAATCGAACCCGGGTCAGCTCGAGCAAGGCAAATCCCCTACTCGCTGTGCTATCGCTCTAGCCCCAACAATTTTTTTTTCTTTATCACAGACTCTGGGCATCCTTAGATTGCAGCGTTTTTCCCTCTTCTTCTTTAGTCATCACAGTCGCTTACATTCCAGAGTAGAAAGGTTCCCCCTTCCCAAGTGGACTCTTCACTGAGTGTTCCAGCCTGGCCTGGGGGGTGAGTTGGAGGAAAGTCAGGGCGTTTGTCCCGTGGACCATCCTGAACTGGCTCCTTAGACTGTGTGCTTACCAATGCTGTGTGCCTGGACATTATATCCATAATTCTAACCTCCAATTTAAGGAAAAAAGGGAAAAAACTGGATAATCGTCCCAATTTTTTGAAAGAGGAAATTCAAGTCTGGGAAAATGTACGGAGTGGCAGAACCAGAATCCCCGACCAGAATTCTCGCTCAAGACCTTGTGAAATCCGACCACACCTGCCTGCCTCCAGGTCATCATGCTAGTTCTTAAGTCAAACCAAGACACTAATTCTTGGTTTATCCCTAACAATAGCGAAATCTGTGTTTGGTTTGTTATCCTCAACGCTCCTAGAGACATCACTCCCCTGTTCTATAACACTTTCAAGTTCTTGCCCTAATTTTAGGATCACTCCTTACCCCCACCCCACTTTCCATGTGGTTTCGTGTTAAGACTCAGAGACTCACCCTAGCCTGGCTCTTACCTGAGACGCCTGCTCAGAAATTATTCATTCTAAAAGTCATTGACCTTGTATTGTTTGCTAATCCCTTCACACATCCTTCTGCCTCTGCCTGCTAGAAAGCTACCGTATATTTGAACTTACATTTCTAACTCTTTAATATACACACAATTACACATTAAATATATGCACAGTTAGTAATTAGAGCAGGTTATTTCTAATGTTCCCAAAATTCTGAATTCCAATTTGTTTCTTAAACAATGACGACACATTTCAAGTTCTGAAAACCAGGAGCAGTGTTCCCTTACCCTAACTAAAGTGTTTGTATATAAAGCACAAAAGCCAAAAATGAAATATATCATATATTATGTAGGATACTTGGTTATTTATCAGAAAAAAAATGAGAATGACCCTACCTTGAGATTAATTACATTAAAATGCAGGGAACAAGGAACAGTAGTAGTGTTATCTCACACTATCTTCACAAACAGTAGTAAATGTTTTTATTTCAAAAACAAGGTGTTGGCAACAGCGCAGAAGATATGTAGGTATCTTCTTTTATAAAGAAGGATAATACATAGATGAGATTAATACATAGATGAGAAGGATAATACAAAGATGAATTTAAAAACAAGCATTACTAGCAAAAAAAATTTCTTTTAAATACAAGAATTACTAGCAACTCTTTTTTAAGTACTTCTAAATCAGTATTTCACATCTGAGGGGCGCATAAGGACCTCTAATGGGTCCCCAAGATATTGCAGTGAAGCCAGGGGTAAAAATCTCATAAATGAGGGGCCCCTGCATGAGACTGGAGGGCCAACAGTCAGAACAGGAAGCCCACAGGAAGGAAACAAGGTCAAAAGGGGTCACGGTGGGTTAAAGGTTGAGAAACACTGATCATGAAGACTGCCCTTACTGAGCAGCAATTTTAATATCTCTGAAGTTCAGTTTTCTTATCTACACAGTTAAAATATTTCTTAGGCTTCTTTCAGAAGATCACTAACCTTAGTATTGCTCTATTTTGTAAATGACTCAAAATTACTCTATTTCCACCTAGCGGTCAAGTGTAATATCTCCCTGAGGTTTTAGTCCTTTGGTTCACATTCCATCATCACACACACACACAGCTTTGAAGTATCTTGTGAAATACACTTCAAGACAACTTCCCAGGTCCAGTGTGTGTATAAATATGACTTTCAAAAAGCTAATTACTAGTGTATAATCCTTTCCCAAGGACTGCAAGCATTGGTGGTCTAGAAGCATGGCCCTATTAGGGAAAAAGAGTGAACCACCAAAGCATGAAGGGCAGTCTGCTCTCAGAAGCGTATTGGCCTTGCATGTACCTTCCCCAGCACCCCGTACGGTACACCTAGCCCCATCAGTAATAGTTTCTAGTGCAGAGCCAGAAGTAACTCCTGAGAGCATTGCCACGTGTGCATCCTCCCTCTCCCCCAACAACAAACAAACAAAACAACCTTTGAATATGAGGCTTCTCCAAGTTTAGTAAGTCAAATTAACAAAAAAGTGGGAAGGCAAAATAAGAACTATAAAATAGTAGGGCTCAATTTTTCTGTGTTAATGGATCACTTGGGTCCTCGTTAAAATGCAGATTCTTGGGGCTGGAGCAATAGCACAGCGGGTAGGGCGTTTGCCTTGCACGCGGCCAACCCGCGTTTGATTCCTAGCATCCCATATGGTCCCCTGAGCACCGCGAGGTATAATTCCTGAGTGCAGAGCCAGGAGGAACCCCTGTGCATTGCCGGGTGTGACCCAAAAAGCAAAAAAAAAATGCAGATTCTTTTTTCATAGGTCTACAGTAGTGCCCAAGATTAGGCAGCTCCAAAAAACTTCCTGCTGATGCTACTGGAGTAAGGACCATTCTTCCAGTAGCAGTGCCATAAAGCATCTCAGAAGTTGCATGTGGCTTTGTCTTGTCAGGGCTTCAGCACGATCTAGAGGAAATCAAAATACAGGAAATTGTATAAATTCACTCCAAGAAATTTCTTACTCAACTTTTATATCCTTTTTTAATTAGCCTGATGCATCATCAGTTTTTCCGTCTGCTCATAAGAAGTGCTTAGGAGGCTTCAAACGGGCTAGGGAGGGTAGATGTTGTGTTTAAATCCAGCCTCTTTCCCTCATATTTCATGTCCAGTTTTTAGGCTCCCTGGCTCTGGTTTGTCTTGTTCTCGACATGCTTTGCATACACAGCTAAAAAAAAAAAAAAGTCATCCTTAAGAAAAGGCCATTTGGGAAAAAAAAAAACAGTGGCTAGGAGATGGATCTGTGTTTTGTCACTTATCCACAGCAGCAAAAATTCATGGATTAAAATACTATCTGGGAGTTAAGAAAGAAATTTCAGGCACACCCCCAAAAACTTAGTTTTAAATCTTTCAGTACAACCAGTCACAACTCAAGGAATTGGGGATAGCTATCAGGTTGTTTAACTTTTGGCCAGAACATAACGATTGCCTCGAACAGGCCCCAGTAACGTTTCCTTCGTCCTAGCCCTGAGATTTTTTAAAAAGTGCCATATTCAAGGCTCTTTTAGAGTTAGGAGAATGAGACCTATCATTGTTACTGGTATTTGGCATATTGGGTACGTCACGGGGAGTATGCCAGACTCTGTGTGGGCAGGTTACATTCTGTAGCCTGCCAGTTTGTCCAAAGTAGGAATGAGATAAAAACATTTTTAAAAAAACATGACTACAAATATCTAATAATTAAAACTTTCCTGGAGCCTATACAATAACCCATCGTAAAATGCATGCTTACAAAATTAACTGGATGAGAAGACAGCTAGAAGGAAATGAGATGCTGCAAAAGTTACAGTAATAAAAGGTAGTTTCAAATACTTTATTTCAAAACAAGGTGGAGGCCTGACGACTCATCTCATCATGACTTCAGTCTATTTCCTTTGCTAATTTAAATTTTCCAGCTCCCCACAATCATGTATTACTGGTTATTGCACTTTTGGAAATACGTAGCTTGTCCTAACCCATTTATGCTTCCTGTAGGCAGTGTTCAAAGTGATCCGCTTCTAAAAATATGACATACAAGGGGGCCATTTGAAAAGGAGCAGGAGATTGCTTACAAAGAAAGCCGCCCGTAGATCCAAGAGAGTGCAGAGGGGAAGGCACCTGCCTTGCACGTAACTGACCCTGTAACGCATAGCATCTGAGTGCACTCCTGACCACAGAGCTCGAGGCAGGCCCTGAGCGATTCTGGGGCATCACTGTATATGACCCAACCTCCACACACCCCAAATCAACACAAAATCTTTTTTTCTGAAGTTTCATTTTTTTTAATTAATTTTTTTAATGAATCAATGTGGGGCTGGAGCGATTGCACAGCAGGTAGGGCGTTTGCCTTGCACACGGCCAACCCGGGTTGGATTCCTCAGTCCCTCTCAGAGAGCCCGGCAAACTACCGAGAGTATCCT